AAAAAATCAGTCAATTAAAATTCTAGAAAGTATCACGGTCACCGCACGTCACGCTTACGGCACTGAGCTTTTCACAGTCATACGAAAACTGCACTAATAGCAACCAGTTTTGCGCGACGACAARCTGTACGATTCCTCGCGTGTTAGAACAGATTTCGAATAAAAGAGAAACGGCACGACAAGCGGCATATTCACGTTACGAAATTGGCGACATCCTTTGAACCAATCACATCGCGCGAGATTACAAAGGGTCATTATATTTGTAGAATGGTTCATCAGACGTTAGTGTAGCTATAGCCTGGATGGTGTGTTTGCTATATACCGCTCATCGAACTATCTGTGCTGTGATTGGTTGGTCAGTTTATGTAGTGGTTGGCTGTTTGGCTGTCACCGTCCTGAAAGTTTTCTAATTGTCGGTATCCATGCTTCAGGGATTTCTATACCACTGTTCCTTCCTTGACTGAGTGGATACCAATAGGGCTTTGACCTATATTTAATTACAATTASACCCGCAGCCCGAATGGTCTTCGAGTCAATAGCCCATGAGGCCGAAGGTTCACTATAGACCACTAGTAACCAATCAGAGCGCAGAATTCGAGATAGACCATTATTAGGTTTGTACTAATGCTGATTATCCAATAAAAATGTTGGGACATGAGTAGCACGGTCACGGTACGGCACCAATCCACGTCGTGACTCACAAATATAGGAAATAAAATTTGCTCAATTGAAAAGATTTAAAGAGAATATAAGATACCAATATGGTAACACAACGTTCATCTAATAGCCTGCCCAGTAGGTTCGTAGATGATGGTTTCGTTCTTCTTTCAAGGGAGTATATGTTATCGAGCGTTTGTCAATACTACACATTGGTTCAGTCCAACAATTGACTGGAGCAAAGATCCTCAGCACCTTTACCTCAGATGTACCACGTGATTGGTTTGGTCACGTGGGGAAAATAGAACATCTGGTGATGGGAAGCAAAAGGTTAGTGTCTGATTGGTTGCTTCCTTTCTCGAGTTCCCAAATGACCGCTGTTTTCGTTGCCAAAATATAATTCCATTCTCGTACCCAAACCCTTACCAGCTTCCTAACGAAAAATCATTTTTTGCTGAGAAGGTCTGCGTACGAGAATGAATATAATGCGTCTTTTTCGCTCGTTTCCTTTCTTTCACTTGAACTTGGGTTGTGCTTGCTTCAAGTTGAGCTAACATTTCTCCTACAAGGGTATTGAGCAAAGGGTTTTCAAGTCAATATTATGTTTTTTATTCCTTCATTCTTTCTTTCTTTCTCTCTTTCGGAACAGTTACTTGCATCTTATACCGAGTGAACAGCCTCCTTCATCTTGGCATCCCGTCTCTACCGTCGTTTTGTGTTCGCCTGACGAAACTTCTCTCARCGAGTTAAAAATCGTCTGTCAGTCAGCCATAAGCGTTTTACACGGTGTACTCTCCAGTCCATATGTCGTCCCAGGAGGTGGGTGTCTGGACACCCATTTAGCCTGGTACCTGCGATCCAGGGCGCGCCAATGTACTCCTAAAAGCCTAGAAAGAATAGGCGCTACTAAAGGTTAGTTATGGCTGGTAAATTAACGAGCACATGAGGGTCATATAAGGGAAACTAAACGATAGGGCTCTTCCAAGAAACTTCCCCAGAGCGTTCTTGAAGAAAAGCCAGGAGATGGGCTCCCGGCCCAACGGTCTTCCGCTACACTAACAAAATAAGGGACGAGGTCAAAACAATCGTCCAAGATAGGGACCCGATTTTATGATATAAGGTGGTGGGTACCGGTACATACTCCCCGCCCTCCCCCTCAGAGACCTGTTCAAATGCTTGATACTGGGGGTGGGTAGTGGCAATTTCTATATGCAAATATGTTTTTTAGCATACATGCAGACAGACAGTCCATTCATTTCCGTTATTCGGCTTTTAGTTTTGGAGATATTTGGGGACAAAATCGAAGTTAGATTTCACTTCCAGAGGTGGTGGGTACCGGGTAACACCACCCCTCMCACCTAAATCGGGTCCCGTGAGATGACAATTGTTTTGCCCTCATCCCTAATTACGACTTTCTCAAGGTGATTTATATTAAAAATCCTATTTAGCTCAGTACCTAACTGTCATGAACAACATTGCCCGTTGCCTGGAAACGGTCTCCAAAAGCCTGGAACACGACGGGGGCGATCACGTGTACGATTCCTCCAATCACCATCATTGGATCATTCCACCGGGCTCTGACCCAAATACTACATCAATCCCGTCTTGTGTGTGCGGGCTTGTGTCACGTGATAAATTTGAAGGAGAATGGTGCATTATGGGAAGTGATTTTGACTTAAGTGTTACCGGCCAATCATCTTTCACCAGGAATGGACCAATAGAAAGATCCTTCAGTAATTCTATCATAGACCTCTACGCTTCCAAGATGAGTGCTTTGTGCACTGTTTTTGAGACTGTTAATGTTCTCTTAAGAGTAAAACATCTTGTTTCCGATGGATAAGTGGGCTCGCACAAGATAGTTCGCTAGCTCACAAGATTGAAAGTCAATTTAAATTGGGATTCCTGTGGTGCCGTACTTTTCAGTATTTGTCCTTTTATATAAACATCAAAAGGATTTAAAAGTAAAAGGAAGTGCTTTGTTTTACACTCTTGAGGCTATTTTTGTGCTTTTGTGCAGTTCACGCTACAATAGCTACATTTTATTTCCGGTCAGCGGAGATCAACTGGGGATTCCCATATCCGATTGCATCTCAGTGACTCTGATCAAGTGTTCGAAATCGCAAGCTTGTTTACATGGCTGCTCGGTGATCATGGAATTGTTTATTCGTCTTTGATCGCCTGCTTTATTCAGACAAATTTCATCTACGAGTATCTATCAAGGGATTCATCTTCGATGGTTCATTGTATCTTCGACATCAAGGACATGAACCTCGCTAAATTTACACTGTAATGAGAAATAAACGACTTCGAAGCCGCTCTTCCAGTGACACAGAGTACAAGCCTCGACATTCAGAATTTACTCAAATCGCCATAATAATAATATTTATGCTAGTGGTGGCATTAACTGCTTTCTACTATGGAAACTATCTTATCGTACTTATAATCATTGGTATTTGGATTACCTAACCTCGTATGGGAGTGTTCCTAACTAGTACACGAACGTTGACCATTTTGCCTCTTCGCGAACACGGCGTTACCTCAGCGTGCGGTAGGACAAGTTACGCGGTTGATGTGGACGTGTGGATAGACAAATCTAGCCTTAAAATAATAAACATTTTCGCTCATAAAATAAATGTATGAAACTTGGGCCGTATGTTCTAGTCGTCGATTGGGTTTATCRATTATTTGTGGAGATATTCCCGTGGTATCTATGGTACTGGTTCGCGTGGTAAAGAATTATGAATCTACAAATCATTTTGCTGAATCGAAGTCTAATGGGGTTAGCTACGAGGGATGAGAAAATTAAGTAATATTTGGTTGTATTTTTAGTTTTTTAGACGCCTTCTGATACACATGATTACGAAATTCTCCTTTTTGAAGACAAAAATGGCTGAACGATAAGTCCATTTCATTCTATTTTCCTTCGTTACGATTTTCATCAATGCCTCAAGCTATCATAAAAGATCTATGGATTCTATCGCCAATCTTAGTCACAAGGAAGCAGACAAAAGGATAATGCTTTATTAATTCGCAAAAATATCACCTGTAATACAAATGACCTTGAAAATATATTACTGTAAGTGCTAGCCCACCAGAACACATTGAAAAACGGGATTTCTTTTAGAAAGTCAGACAAAAGAAAAAAGAAAWAATATTGCTGCAATATAATCGTGATAAAGTTAACAGGCGACTATTGAGTACGAYGAAAAGTAAGATTGTTTGCTTTTTGGCTTCCTTTTAGCATAATTTTAGTAATTTTCAAAATAAATCGTTTTCGATTCGAGTTCTTAACGACCAAAAATTCACTCCTAGCTTTTAGCATATTGAATATGATCTTTGTGTAAAATGGTGAAAAAGACCCCTTGGAAATTACCAATTAGTTCAAACGAATTTCAATTTAAAAATAAACGATAAATGGTGAAAATGTAATAATTCGAAATAGACTTCTAGTTCAATTATAAAATATACTTTTCCGTACTCAATATTGCCACGTTTTTCTGTTCCTTTTATTAATTTGTATTCTAAATCATATTTTCAAATTAGAAAAATAACTTTATTCATTATATAAATGAATGAAAGACAACAGACGTTCGGAGCTAATTAATTCAAAGAAAATTTACGATTGATAATCCCTTTAGACAAATATGTCTTTGAAGGGTGGATTCTTAAAGGATTTTAACATTGTACAAACTCTTTTAACTTTGAAGCGAATAGTTTCTTTTTTTTAACTAATTGTCGTTTCCTTGAGAACTATTTTCGATATTTCTGATAGTCATTCGTCAAGGATAAATATTGAACTCAAGCAGAGAATATTATTCAGTATAGATTTGAATGGGGGGAAAGATTATGCCAGATTTAAAAGTTTATGAATATGAAGTATCAATATTGGTAAATTTCGATTMAAAAAATCCCCAAATTTTCAAAGAACACGATTCAATTTGATTCACAAATAAATTATTGAAAGTAATTTTAAAAAATGGTTAAAAGCATGACAATGAATGAGATTTGAATGAGATGTCTAGCCAATTAGGTGTTGTCGTTTTGACATTACTAGGAGACACCTCTTAACATGAAATATGCAAGGATTTATAAATGCTAGTTATGTTGTGATGAATAACAATCGTAACTGAGGTAAGCAGCAAAATCCTTCCATTTCAATGCAATAAAAATGAGAGGCAATAGACCTTTCCCAAATTCACTTGACTGATTACAAAACAATGGTTTCAAGTCAAGGTTGGAGTTGATGAATAAAGAATCAAGTTCAATAAATATTTTAAAATGTTCATCATAAAAGAACAATTTTCAGGTGAATGCCCTTGTGGTATTAAATGGGTAATTTGCATACGAAGGTAAAAAGGTCTATTCATTAAAGGTCTATTAATAATAAAATGCTTTTAAAGYAATGCCCCATAAAAATCTTGGGGCTCTTAATATAAAAGGATTTTTAAGGGATTAAGTATAAAAACGTAAATAGAAAGATTATTATTTTGAAAGAAGCCAAAGTTTTGATATTCTTAAAGTGCTTATAAGCCTTTGCACAATATTTTCAGAATTGATTCTTTAGATAGTGGACAGTTGATTTGAATGTCGGGTCTTTAAGATACAAAGGTTTATATTCCCAATATGTTAATGACTATGACGTAACATAAGGGATCATTTAATAAACAACACTGCACTCGTTCTGGAATCATCTGGAGCATCACCCTTTTACTCGTGACTCACGTAAAGGTTCTTACAAATTTGTTTTCAAAAAATGTCCAGCGTTCAATATTAAAAGTTGCCACAAAATAACTCAAATCCCTTATGTTACGTCATAGTCATTAACATATTGGAAATATAAACCTTCATATCTTAAAGACTCAATTCTGAAAATATTGTGTAAAGGCTTATAAGTACTTTAAGATCACTGGATAAAGAGCTCCAGAGACAGAGGTATTTATTTAAAGCCATTCATTTTCCCCTGCATGTAAAATGAATTCAATTTCAGTTTTGAGCTTCAAMATCCATTACCTGACACTTCAAACTTGTTCTAAACTCAGGCAAAACTGTGACAAAATTCTCTATTTTATTACAAAAATGTGAAAATGTATGACCACTTTTAATGTATTTGCATACTTTGCTGCAGAGGCTTTTTGCTGCCAAATGAAGTTTTATATGCTTTATTGGGTAACACCAGCCAGCTTCGCATTGAAATGTGTCAGTTTGACATAAAGTACAAAAGGCAAAGCATAAAAGTACACAATATTACATTATCTCTGGTCATATTTTTTTGCACGTAAATTTTTTCTCTGTAAGCAAAATAATTAGACCTGTCTGTTTAGAATAAAATAAAATGAAATAAATAAATAATATCCCAAAAATGAAAATATATAAAACAGGAGAACAGAAAAAAGCCTTGACTCCTTTTGTGAGGGATGGGTGGAGATCGCTATATACGTAGGAGGTAGAACTATGGATATTCTTTATTCTTTATTGGCAGACTAACTTGCCTGTCCTGAATTGAATTGTTACTACATTTTCATCTCAAGGTTTGACTTGCTGATTTCATACATTTTTGTCCTATTTTATCAGTATAACTTTTCTAAGTTGGAGAACATGGTGCATTATGGTGCAAAMCTTGGGTACAAACATCTTTGGTTCATCATACCTCATATGGTGTTGCTTGTACCAAATCTAGACCATGATGCATCCTGTTTATCAAACTTAGAAAAGGCCTTTGAAAGTATAATGGGATTAATAACATAAAGTTGTTTCATTTCATCCTTGACAGAGCTACTGGTGGTCCAATACTTGTAGACAGTAAGTAAGTATTGTACACAGAGAGAACTTGGGGATTTTTCTAGTAGTGTGAAGTTTATGGTGCTTTGCAGTTGATGATGTACACATCATGTATTGGCCTAAAGGATAAATACAAATATTATTTAATTTTGAACAATGTTTAAGGAGTGATTGCTTAGTCTCCTGAGGCTCATATTTAAGCAGCAGGATGCAGATCTACATGTAAATTGTAATTTAGAAGTTGATTTTGGGTGAGGAATGAGAACTCTGGAAAAACTGTTGAAACAAAAGATAGATCCAGTAACACAATTTATCTACATGCAACACTGGTACCAAGCCTGGAAATCGAACCTGGGTTGCACTGGAGAGAGGAGGTTTTTTTTAACTATTTTGACATCATCAGAATGGTACAAAACATGCTGGAGTAGAGAGATCTGATATCAACAGAAGTATATATGTATATTTAATTTTGGAACTACAAAATATTGAAGACATACATATAGCACTTACCTATCAGAGGTATCAGTGTCCACCAAACCTATCCTCTTTACGACTCCAATACCTTTCTTTATGCGTCCAAATATTGTGTGTTTTCCTAAACAAAAAGATAGTAATATCACTTTACATTTACTTGACATTATAAGAACACCCTGTGTGGGTCAGTATTGTGTAGCCAGTGTTGCAACCTTGCTGGCATCTGGATTTTTGGCATCAAGTGCTTTGRCCATGAACTTTTTGAGAAACAGTCCGAACTATTACTCTTATTGGCATAAAATGACATGACTGGAATGATCTGAAGCATGAAATAAGGGAAGCTAGGGATATTATCTTACTGTCAAGACTGTCTGAGAATTTTGGAATAAAAGGAATGGTATTGAAGTGGTTCAATTCATATCTGACAAATAGGAAACAGTTTGTCGCAATCAATAACGCTGTCTCTTCTGTTTGGGATCTAAATGTTGGAGTACCTCAAGGATCAGTGCTTGGTCCGGTTCTGTATGTTTTGTATACGTCCCCGGTAGCTGACATCATCAGGAGCTATGGGCTGAGTTATCATTTCTATGC